GTTTGCCTTGGCAGTAGTAGGTTGGAGATCTTTTTTAAGGTTTAAAACCACTTAATTTTATGTCTTATAGGGGTTATACGGACTACAATATTGTATAACTGTATTAATTCAACTGTAAACCTAAAAATTTACATCCAATTTTGAAAGAGATGCATCTTAGCTCTGGAAATTGTTATTGAATATGTCAATGCTGTTGTAGTGAAATGCTCCTTCTAATTATATGGTTATTAAATAAATAATTTTTTTGAAAAGTAAAATTTAAACAACAGAATAAAAAAACTTTCCTGTAAAGATATGATTCTAGATGGAAAACACTCCTCTACCTGGATGTGGTGGGGCACACATATAATCCCAGCAGCTGGGATGCTGAGACAGGAGATCATGGGTCTAGGACAGCCTGGACTATGTAGAGAGACCCTGTCTCAACCAGAAAGAGAAAAAAGAAGGAAGCAGAGAGAGGGCCAGGAAGAAGGGAGAAGGAAGCACACATTCATGTAGTGCCTCATACAGTTAATGCAAAATGCTCCCACTGGTGCACAATTTAGTGATATCTTAAAATACCAAAGTGAAAAACAGAAAGGAGAAAGATAGGTCCCAAAAACAGTAGATTGCTTTTAGAATGGGTTTCTAAATAATATTGTAAAGAAGACCTATAATTCTGTATTTACCAGGATGAAACTCAAAAATGTTAACTCCTATTATACCCTTTTCAGAAATTGCTATTGAAGCCTCAGTAGTAAACTGAGATACAAAGGCTTAGGGAGACTAGAATCTGAGCACAGAAGAATGAAGAGGTCTAGCCCCATTGTATAGACACCTAACAAAGCTAGTTGCAAGAGGACTCTAGAAGAAATGCTTTTGGAGAATGAGCACATACTAGTATCTGATAACTGGCCAAACTGAGAAATTTTCATGTTTTTTTTTTCCAATTTCTTTGCTTTGTTGGTTGGGTTGGGGGTTGGGGTTGCTACTGCTGTTATTTTGAAACAGGATCTCACTTTGTTGGCCTCAGGCTTTCAGAGATCCACCTGTCACTACCTCTTGAGTGCTAGGCTTAAATATATGCCTAGGAAGAGAAAATGTTAAACTCAGGAGTATTTAGGGATGAATTAAACTATGCAGAAAATTTGAAAACTTGAAACTATACACAAAATACAACATATGAAAATATATAAATACACAAAATAAAATAGTACACATCTGGGCTCACTTATAAAGTATGAATATAGCCATAATAATGTAGATAGTAGATGTTGATTGCTGTAAAATTATTTAAAATACATTATACTAAGAGGAATAGAGAAGTGGATGTATATATATAGCAGATTCTATAAGTAAGTTAAATTATTACCTTTCATGGTATCATAGCACAGATTTTTGTCTACCAAGAACAAAAACATGGGCAGAGTACAGCAAATAAGCATGTTATGTATGTATGTATGTATGTATATTTATTTATTTATCTTATGTGTATGAGTTTTGCCTGCATATATGTAGAAGACATCAGATCCCCTGAAACTAGAGCTACGGTCAGTTGTTAGTCACCTTGTGCATGCTGGGAACAGAGCCTAGATTTTCTACACAAGCAGCCAGTGCTCCTAACCACTGATTCATCCCTTCAGCTCCAAATAAGGATGTTTTGACAGGCATCATCTAGTCTACTCTAGCAAGAAACCCAAAATGCAGTGAGTTTAACATGGTAGTCTAGGAAGGTATCAAAGATTCAGACTCCCTCTGTGTTGTTTGCTATGCTATTCCTAGACTATTTCCACTTCAATGTGTAATAAACATGCCTTGCCTGTCCATGTCTCAGCTAGCAAGTTTAGGATAGAGAAACACAGAAAGTCAGCCTCCTTCCACTTAGAGACAAGAACCAGAACTTGTTCATCACTTCTGTCCACATTCCTTAGGCCAGCAGCTGACATATAGCTATTCCTATCTGAGGTTTTCCCTAAAATAGTAAATGTTTTGCATTTCACATACAGTAATTTAATATACATGAGCATAATTTTTTATTTTTTAGAACTGGCTTAAAAAATAAAAATTTTTCTCATATCAGTGATATAAATCTATGTCTTCATAAGCTTCCCTTTATGAAAATAAACTCTTTTTGGATGTATAATTTTAGTTTCATTATTGCAGAGAAATCAACAACTGATGATGATGTACAGAAATCAGACATCTCATCAAGTAGTCAAGGAGTGATAGAAAAGGAATCCTTAGGCCCTCTTCTTTTGGAGGTAAGTAACTTCACTGAAATTAAAATCTTTGCTCATTCCGATCTAGCTTGTTCTTTATCTTATTTGATGTCTTTAACTAACTAATAAATTATAAAAACACAGTAGTTTTTTAAAATCTTAAATATATTTTATTATAAAGACTACTTCATGGTTGTTATTTCAAACTTAAATATGAGTAATGGGCATAGAAGTTTTCATATAGGCGTTCCAAGTTGTCAGATGAAAACTAAAATCTATACAGTGACTTTGCCTTGTGTTTCTGGAGTGACTAGAATTATGTTGGAAAAGAAAACTGATTTATCTAGCTGTTACAATCTATGTATACTATAGAATTCACTTTTGTGAAAGATACCTCGCATTATTGGACTAGGTATCTCAGAAAGTTTTCTGAATAAAAAATTTTAAATTGAGTATGTATGTATAAATATTCTAAATGAGAATTACTGTCTAACTTTATGAAGAACCTCTAAACTTAAATTATTTTATAACTACTGTATCATTTTCAACTCTGCCTTTTCTAATTTTCACTACATGTGATTTAAATATAGATGCTTTGTTTCCAAGCAAATTCATTACTTTTATACATGAATGTTTAAAAGCATGTACATACTCCTCCCCCACAACATATGATTTTCTATCTCTAATCTAAATTTTATATTCATTTACCAGGATATATATAAGCTAATTTTTTTCTTCTCTTTTCTCGAGGTCGTTCTTTCAGCAGGGTCTTCTTAACTTGTATTGGTTTCTTTATTTTCTAATTCTCTCATATGTTTTATTCTATTACCAGACTTCCATGTTTTATATTATCTGTGCTTCCCTTTACTAATATAAGAAAATTCTATATACTAATATAACTAATATAAGAAAATTCTCAAAATTCAGTTCTTGCTTTTCCAGCCCCAGAAATAATACTATATTCAGATTGTTTCATTTCCATCCTGTGACAGTGACCCACAGATGGGTTCTTCTTGCCTGTACTTCCCATACTTCACTCCTGGGCTTTTAACGGACTGCTTTCCTAGTAACATCTGTTCCTCAAAAATCTAAATTCTTTTTTCCCATCCATATTGTACAAATATTTTGAACTGTTGGTCTTAACAGTTTTTATTGGTAAGAGGGAACATGCGGTCACCGCCAGCGGCAGCCACTCCTCTGTTCTCACAGGCGCTGTTCCTTTGTTCTCACGGGCGTCAAGGCTGCTCCTCTGCTCACCCTGGGCTGAGGCCCCTCTTCTGCCTGCCCTGGGCTGAGGCTGCTCTTCTGCTCGCCTGGTGTCGCCTTCTGTTGTCGCTGCTTCTGCCCAGTCCCGGACCCCAGGGTTGGTGAGGAGACTGTCAGTGGAGCTGCATTCAGACACAGGAAACCAGGTTCAGTGACACAGATCTGGTTTATTGCAGGAAGGCACAAGCTTATATAGGGGTAGTGGTCCAATCACAGCACAGCAAGTAGGATACCTTATTAGCATAACAGGTTTAGCATCCTATTAGCAAAACAGACTTAACGTCCTATCACAGAATAGCGTAGAGGATGCCTCATTAGCATACTAGGTTTCAGATTACAGAGCCTGGATTCCTGGAAACCTCAAGACCCTGACTGTTGCAATATCTAAGTGTTGCAATTTTGGATTCCAAGGGTGGTTAGTGAGTGGCAAGCTCTGGGCATCAGTCTCATGATCTGCCAATAGGAGCAAATGTCACAAGGCGTTTCTTGTGGCTCCAGCGGTCGGCCATTGCCTCGGGCCTGCTGTATGGCTGTCAATAAGACTTTCACCCTAGGCTCAAGCCTGTCTCCCACAGGAACAAACAAAAAGTCTTGTACAGTTGTAAAATATAAAAGACATTGGCCGTTGAAACTGGGTTAGAAACTATTCTGTGAGTGCACAACCAGGAACTGGAGTGGCAGAAGACACCACATTTGATGGAGACTGATTTCTTTTTACGATGTTCTTTTCAATCTGTAGTTGATTGCATAACACATGACTTCATCTGGGTAAACAGTGTTATGAAAAATATAGTAAAAATGCTAATGATGGAATCTAGGTGGCAGATGTATGGATGTTTGCTACAAAATTCATTCAACTTTGCTGTGTTTAGAATTTTTTTTGAATTTTTGCAAGCTTCATCCAATAAAGTTCAAAGGTATTTAGATCCCCTCCCCTATCCACACCTCCCCCAACTGCCCTCCACCCAATTTAATGTACTCTCATATACATAGTACAGTCTATAAATACAGTCCCTAAATGTCCTTCAGTGTGGATCCATCCACTGGACCCACCAAGAGTCCCATCCCTGTAAGACACTGTCTTTCCCCCTCCCAGCAGCCATCAATTGCCAAAAGTTTCTTAGGCCAAGTCCTAAAACTGACACTAGAATTTTTCCTCTTTCAGTTTATTAAATGTTTATTACATATGCTGTCTGCACACAGTGTCATTTGAAACACTGAAGAAGTACTAGATTTACAGATCCTTGAGATTTCTGGGATTCCTGTGGAAACTAGTTATCATTTGGATCCTAATCTTTCTATATAGTACTCAGAAAAAAACACAGATCAACAAGGGGAGCAAGTGTAGCATACACAAACTGTATACAGCACAAATGGAAACAGATAATGCTGCTACTGCTATTTTAATTCATATTAGCATTGGTTGTTTCTGTAATAGAAATTCAGACACTTTCAAGTGAATAGACAGTGACAACATTAATCAGTGGCTGCTGAGGGAGGGAGAATCAGTTTTCTCCAGGGAGGAGCTCCCTGATAGGTTATCCAAACCCAAGTTCTCAGCCCTTGTACATATGAGCACCACTAAATGGACTTAGTAGGTTGTGTATGTGTGTATGTATGTAACCATAATAATTAAAGAAAAGGTCATAAGGCTAGAGAGATGACTCAGCACTGGTTGCTCTTGAAGAGGACCCAGGCTCAGTTCCCAGCACCCACATAGCAGCTAGCAACTCTCCGTAACCTCAGTTCCAAGGGATTTGACACCCTCTTCTGCCCTCTGCAGGCATTTCATGACATGGGTTCACTTACATTCATGCAGGTATTATACTCATACACATAAAATTAGAAATTTAATAATAATTTTTTAAAGGTCATGAAATTGAGAGAGTAGTGGTCAGGCAGACATGGGAAAAGTTGGGGATGGGAAGGAAGGGGTGGAAATGATGTAAATACAGTACTCATATATAGAATTCTCAAAAAATAAATTTTAAAAAATTTCTGTAGGAAGAAAAGTAAGGATTTTTTTCAACTAATGCAGATATTACCCAGAAAACCACTATGAATCAAAATAAATAGTATTAGATTGCACATGAGTTAATTGCCATTAGATTAACAGTTTGAAACATAAAAAGTCACATTAAAAAGCCAAGTATGGGGCTGGAGAGATGGCTCAGCAGTTAAGAGCATTTGTTTTTCTTCAGAGGAACTGAGTTCAATTCCCAGCAACCATGTTGGATGGCTCACAACTGCCTATAACTCCAGCTCCTTAGAGATCTGATGCCTCTGGCCTCTACGGATACCTGCACTCACATGCACATATCAACACACAGATGCATACATATACACATTATTAAAAATAAAATCTATTTAAAAATTAAAGAAAAGGCCAAGCATGGTGGCTCATTCATGCATGTAATCCAAGGACTTTGGAGGCCAAGGCAGGAAGATGAAGCGAGTAGAGCCAGCTAATAGTGACTATAAGGCCATACTGAGTTACATGAGAACTTGTCTCAAAAAGCAAACAGACAAAGTCCTATCAAATCAGAAGAATTGGAAACAGAACAAAAATTTACTTAAATTTTTTTTTTACCTCGAAGAAGTTCATGATATTTTTATGAGCTGTAGATATACGAAATAGAGACTTTAAAATAGAATTACTAGGCTGGGAAGATGACTCAGTGGGTAAGAGTGCTTGCTATGCATCTGTGCAAGTAAAAAGACCTGAGTTTGAATTCCCAGCACCTACATAAAATCCAGGCATATATACTGCATCTCTAATTCCAGTTTTTGGGAGTAGAGACAGTTGGATCCTATGAGCTCATTGGCCAGGCAACCTAGCTGAAACAGCAGATATCATATTCAGAGACCATGTCTCAAAAGCAACGTGGAGATCAATACGGTCCAGTGTCATCTGACCTCTATTGGACACTTCAGAATTGCCTTTATTGCCAACCTAACTAATGTCTCTTCCATTTTTTCTTCTTTGTTCCTCAACCTTATCCCCACTGATTTACAGTTCCATAGAGTCTCTATTCTAAGATAGCTGAGAATACCTACTCTTTTTTAGTCACAGGATGGCTTCCTCATGGAATTAATAAAATTAGATGAGGATTCTGGAGGCAGAAGCAGGTGGATCTCCATGAGTTAGAGGCCAGCCTGGTCTACATAGTGAGTTCAAAGTCAGGCAGAGCTACAAAGTAAGACCCTATCTCAAAAATAAAACAAAACAAAGTTAAATGATACAGATAACTTATTAATAGGGTTATGTTTTTAAATTATTTATTTATTCTTTGTTCTATCAAAATTTTACTGCCTTTTTATGTTCAAGGTTCTGTATTATTTGACTCTAACCCCCCCTTTTTTGCATTGCCCCTAAGAAAAACTATTACTCAACAAGGAGTCCCATATATTTTACATATACATCCAAACTCTTCATCTCAACATAATTCTCTACATTTCTGTACGGCTTTTGACACTTGTTGGACCGTTTTTCCTTCCTTAAAGGTCCTTTTGCATCTAGAACAGTACTTCTTTTTTATATAACTGTTTGGCTATTTTTTCAGATTTTTCTTCCTTCAATTTCCTCTTAAATGTTACTATCCCAAGGATTTTGACTTTAACTTTTTGTGTGCACATTTTCTGGGAATTTTTATCCATGTCTGTATCTATGTCTGTGTAATATATTCACATATGTGTATTTACATGTGTATGTGTGTGATATCAAGGTACTTGATTTCAAACAGATACTAATTCTAACTATTGCACAAATGTAACTT